TGCCCTTGGTCACATGGTATTTCATTCTTTTGTCCTTGGTGTATTTTTCCTTTTTTCTTTTTAAAAAACCTTTTCTATAATAGAGATACTTAAGAATTGTAAAAGCACACACACACAAAAAAGTAAGAGTAGTTTATATTTTAAAAATCTGGTTTGTTTTTTGCTTGGATGTAATTGTGAAAAGGCTAGAAGGTTCGTAAACTGTCAGATTATGTCCTGTCCTTCTATTCAATGTGCTCTCTCCCCATCTCATCTGCCTTAGCTCCCTTTGTTTGGGGTGTCAGTGATTGTTGTTCCAGTGGGGAATTGTCAGCTTCATTTTTATCTTCAAGGTCTTTAACAGTGGTGTCTGTGGTACATAATCAACTAATCGCTTCCTGGCAGAGGGCTTGGTCAGGTGACTGGATCCCTAAAATGCCATTAAGTACAAATACTGTAAATTAAAAAGATTGCATTTAGCCAGCATCATTTCTTGAACAGTCTCCAATGCAGAAGGTATTTCCACTGACAGCAATGGGGATGTGGGGAGTAAAATCCAGCCTTCCTTTAAAAATGCAAGTGAGACAGTCTCCAGTCATTAAACATATAGATTTTCATAGGCTTTATTTGTATAAAGCATTCTGATTTTCAGTTGATGTGTCCTTGCTCTAAGTGACAATTGAAATTGCCTGTCCCTTGCTAGGACATCAACTCCAGCTGGAAGGACAAACTGGTGACCTGCCTGGTGCCACTGGTGCGTGTAGGACAGCACGGCACAGCCAGTGACGACGGCAGCTCCCTCTGAAGCAATCCAGTGCTTTGGGGTCACCAGGGTGACCATGGCACTGCTTTCGCAGGAGCAGATGGCCAAAACACTTCCCATATTACTTTATTAGCTTTGCATTGATATTTATTAGTGTTGTCTTAAGGTTTATTTTGAAAAATGCAAGGAGCTTGATATAGAAACAGACATTTCACAAATCCAAATATACTAAAGCCTTCCCAAATATGACCTCTACATTTTTCTTTAAACTGCTTATTAGATAAGTGATGATACTTCAATACTGGCAGCATTCCCTATTGTCTTTACACTAGTGATGTCATGGCAACCTTCAGTATTATTTTTACCAACTATTGCTCTATTTATAACCCAAGGTTGTCCACACAAGGGTTGATCAGAGGTCCTTCATGAGCCCTGGATTTTGGAGGGTTATTATAAGGTTCTTTTAATCAGGCACCTGTTACAAAAGTTAAAAATTAGTGCATAATTTTAATTACTTCATATTTTCTTGATCCAGTGGTGCCTGCAGCTATTTTGTCAGATTTCATAGCTTATGGAATTGAAGAATTATACCCATGTGTCTAAGCAGGATTCTTTGAACCTTGCTAAGTGCCATGAAAATAAGGGGAACCGGAGGCCCCTTTTGGTACTTGTGAGGTGCTCCCTGAAGTACCAGGCTCTAGTGCTGGGGGTGTAGATCTGGGTGATCTGATCTTCTGGTGTGCTGGTGGGGTGAATAGAAGTTCAGACTGGTGTAGCAGGTGCTTACACTTTAATTCTGGTGATCAGTGAGGGAAATAAAGTTACAGAAACAGGTTTTTTGTTGCTTGTTGTGTTTTTTGTTTTAGGACAACTTTATTTGTTTTGGAGAGGTGAAAGCCTGAAAAATATAGTGCAAATATAGAGAAGATGTATGTATTTCCATCTATTAAAATTTTCCTATAGTTTAGTTAATCTTAAGTTCACATCATCATTTCTGTCTTTGACAGTACTGGTACTGGGCTGAACTGGCTGGCCATCTATTCACACCTCTCCTGTTTACCCTGGTGTCTTCAAAAGCAAGGAGTTTCCTTTGATCCTGAGCTTTTGCTCTAGGGAAATATGCCTCAGCCCAACATGCAGATATATTGCCGAAGGCACTTCTTTTAATTAGCGCTCTCCTCAAGACTAAATACCTTGTCAGAGTATTGCTTTGTGGTTTGCATGGTTTCCTACTAGCTTCCCACACACTCTGCTTTTTGACTCAGGCAGGACTGTCACACACAGAGCCACTCACACATAACCTGGTGGATATGTCATATCCCTGACTTACAAACTGTGTACACCCTGTGCCAAAAAGCAAAAGGACAAAGTATGAGTTTCCTTCCTGTTGAAATGGGGGACAAAGGAAACAAAAAAGTATTGCTTTTCTTCCCCTGTACTCAGCACTCCCTAGGCCGTAGCTGCAGTGCTGTGTCCAGCTCTGCACCCCTCAGTTTAGGAAGGAAGTTGAAGTGCTGGAGCATATCCAAGACCACCCTAGGTCGCGGGGTGGCTTCGTTTGGTGAAAAAACTTCTCCTCCAACCCGTGCTTCCAAAGAAAGGCTCAGCAGTCTCTTGCTGTTCGGTCTCATGGTTGTTTATTGTAAGCTATCTAAAAGATTTTCTCCTTGGGCTGCTGTGGTTTGCTCAGCAGTTTCAGGCAAAGGCACACACACCCTGACACCCTCTCTGTCTGCTGTCTTCTTCTTCCCTCCTCTCACCCCTGGCTGCTGCTATCTTTTGATATGGTACATTACGTGATAGATGTTTACAGTTTTTCCCCAATACCTACTACCTATATTAAATGGTGCTTTTCTACTCTAAACCAGTCTGTGAATGCCAACATCATCAAGAACATGGAGGTAAGGAAGAAGAAAGAGGAAGGACAGGAACTGCCAAAATCCCTCCATCTTAAAACCTCTGACCCCCATGTACAGAACAGAAACCTCCCTGTACAGATGTTAAAACCCCCCCGTACAGCACTAAAAGATTCTTCCCTCTGCTTTGTAACTACTTCTACTATAATATCCAAACTTTTGTGACTTCTTGTTCTTCCTGCAAAGTTGGTAAATCATTCCATGGCTCAAACTCAAAATCACAGCTGTTTCCAGCTGCCTGCCAGGGTCTCAAATGCTTCTGACCAGGGCCCGGAACCTCCAAAAATGTCTGAGGGACATTTTGAGTTCCGACAGGAGCAGGTCCAGAAAAGGGCAACAAGGCTGGTGAAGGGTCTGGAACACAATTCCTGTGAGGAGCATCTGAGGAGATTGGGGTGTTTAGCCTGGAGAAGAGGAGGCTCAGGAGAGACCTCATCACTCGACAGCTCCCTACAGGAGGGTGCAGCACTGGGGTCAGTCTCTTCTCCCAGGCAGCAGCAGCAGGACAAGGGGACACAGTCTTAGTCTGCAGCAGGGGAGGTTTAGGCTGGATGTTAGGAAGAAAGAGTGATTGGCATTGGAATGGGCTGCCCAGGGAGGTGGTGGAGTCACTGTCCCTGGAGTTGTTTAAGCAGAGTGGATGTGGCACTCAGGGCCTTGTTCTGGTTGACAAGGTGGTGCTAGGTCATAGGTTGGACTCCGTGATCCCCAGGGTCTTTCCAACCTAGTTTATTGTGTGATCCTTTGACAAGTAATAGAGTTTGAACATACCTTCAGCACACCCTGAAATCGTGGCCTGACACAAGCTACAGGGGAGTTCCTTACCTCGGAGGCCTATCAGATGTGTAGCTTAGCAATTTTCGTTTTCTTTCTCACAGTTATACACATACATTACATGTATTTTACATCACATTATTGTCATTCCACAGTCTGAGGATGGTGAATGAAAAATTAATAACCTTTTAACTCTGGAATGAGATCTTTTTGAAAAACTGTAGTGCTTGAGAGGATAGCCAGAAAAAAACCCCTAGTTTAAAATAATCAGTGTAATAAGCCAGTCAGTTGGAAAATTACTAATCAGGAGCAAGCCTTGAGAAATCTAAAGACTAATGCTTATCTGAGGACTTCATGTATCAAAATCCTCTTCACCCCTGCTTCATTAAAGGACACAGTCAAATCTATGAGTGCCATGAAAATTATTGATTAGCACCTCTGGAGAAATTTTTCATTTTGCATCTGAGCTACAGATCCCTTTAATGCCCTGTATGTCTCAGAAAGGGGAATTGTTAAGAGCCCTGACATGGGTCTTCCTCAGAGACTGCATTTGGCTGCTGTCAAACAACAACTAAAATGTTGCTTCTGAATGTGTTAATGAAAAAAAATTTAATCTTTATTCTCTCATTGATCCTACAGAAAATTTCCAGGCAGCTTGGCAGATTTCCAGAAGTATATTTGTGGGGGGGAGATGGGGGGAAGGAAGGAAGGGCAAAAAAATAATTGAAAATCTGTCCAAAAGCTGTAAAAGTCCTTGGCTTGCCTCTGCTATAATTAGAGAAATGTTAAGGATCTACACTTGTATATTAAATAGAGCTGGTTTGGAAACTTACTTCCTTGAGTGAGGCATGACCTCCTGAAGTCCCTTCCAACCTGAATTATTCTGTGATTCAATAAGCACATGAGGTGTACTGTGTAAATGGCTGTAATGCTTCAAAATCTTGATCTGACTGTTGTGGCCTATTAGGTGCCATGACTGTCAGCAATTTCTTTAAAAGAATATCTTCCATTCATTACTATTTAAATTATTCATATTCCCTCAGAAGCTTCCCTTCTGGGACTATATTTAAGTCATAGGAGGGGTCAAAAGAAAGAGAAATCTGAATTCTGCTCTCATCTGTCTAGGGTTCTTGTCTTTTTGGCCTGTGCTTTTACAGAAATGAGCTGTGCTGACCCTGGAAATCTGCCATTTCATAAAATGAGAAGGAAAAAAAAAATCAATTTCCCATACAAGAGCAGCAAAAGACTTAATTAAAATTTGCTTTTAGATTCTTTCACATAATATGTTATTTACTTTTTGCTTCTTATACTTTTCATAATATTATCATTCTGTCCTCAGGCTTAATTAGACTTCTTACCTCTCTTAATTACTGCTTTGATCTGGCTTTTAGCAAGTTTTCCTGAAGATGGAGCCAAATGATGTCATTGGAAAGATTCCAATTGATTCCATTCGATTTCAAGCTTTGCATGGACCCCAAGATGCCAGCTAAAATGAAATCATGCATTCATGAATTTGTTAAGTAAAATACTTCAAACGTTTACAATGTCTTTATATATGTGTTATTTAGGTGATGACCTGAAAAAACCATGTCTGAGGTTCAGGGAACGGTCGAGTTTTCTGTGGAGCTACACAAATTCCATAATGTGGACCTCTTCCAGAGGGGGTAAGTTGATGTTTCCATTAATATGCAGCTGACAAGAGAGGAGCAACCTACAGAAAAGAGTTAAATTGCAAAACAGGTTCTTTTCTGCCAAGTGCAGTTATATTTCATGCAATCTCCAGGGCAGAGAAGGATGTCATTGGGCTTTCATTGCTGTCAAGGAAGATCAATGTACATTACTTTCACTGTAAACTCAGGCTGACTGACTTGTTTTTGCAACACAATGTTGTAATGGTCCAAATTATTTTAGGCCCTTGTTCAGATATAAGTACAATGGTAATTTTAAATGCTTCTGGACTGATTTTGAGTCTCTGTGGTAAATGATAGCTGCACTGAATTATAATGCAAACAATTTAATTTTAGGGCCGTAAATGTAATGACTATATTCTTTTAATGAAAGTTAGCTGAATTCTACCATTTCAGAAGGAAAAATGAATACTCATACTTGTCTAAAGCTCTGCTTCTGGTGTCCACACTGATTTTTCACATCCCCTTAATTTAGAAGAAGATGTACAGCTCTGGTTTAGTTAAATTTTTGCCTTTATTATTTTTGCATCACTCTTCTTAGTAGATTTTTAACAACCTGATGACTCTGAAGAAGCCTGGCCAGGTGTGAATTGTTGCTCAGCTTGCATCTTGCACCCCACAGGTGTTCTTCAGCGAAGAAAAATTAGACAAAGAAGCACTTTTGGGGGAGAGGGGACACTCGGGTCAAAAGAAGGTACTTAATGGAAAACAGTGGGTCTAGAGGAATACTATTTTCTTTTACCTACCACAGCTGATATTTACAGAACACTAGATATTCTCTTTCAAGCCTTAGCTTCGCACAGGGGTGGTTCACAGGTGATTTGTCTATCTCAAGCACCATTTCCCTCACAAAAACTAGGGAATTGTTTCAGGTATTGGGATGGATTAGATAGAACTGTTTCCATCAGGCATTTTTGTATTTGATTTGCTTTATGAACTGTGTGGGAAAAATGCTGGGAACTTGAATGAAGGAAACACAGCTCTATTTGGTTTTAACAGCTGGTATCTGTCATTCTGTTGCTCTCTCCAAGAGAATATCCATCAACTTTATGTTAGAGAACATTCTGACTATGTCAAATACTGGTGTCAAACTGAAAAAGAAACCTCTATACTTGAGCTGTTTAGTTTATCCAAGCTATTAAAAAAAAAAAAAATCTCATGTGCATTCTGATCCTTATGATAACAGAAGGAAGAATCTAACTATAGCTTTTTTTCCCTTGGTTTCTGGTGATCACTGTAATGTCTTTGATCTTCCTCACAACTGAAAATCCACTCCCATCTGTGCGCTATATGATTTTTTGGACTTAGACAATAGGATGTTCAGAGGTTAGCCAGGAAGCTTTCCATGTTCCAGTGTGATGATCTGCCTGTTTTTTCTTGTATTGGTCTGATTTTGCATTCAATCATTTCTGTAAAATGCTTTCCTTGGCTTTGACAGTCAGATCAAATCTCTAGTGTGGGGGTAAGCTTAGCACTAGCACAGATAATATATTCAGCTGTCACACTAATGAGTTCCTAATTACCTTTGCTTTTTTCCCCACTGGTACTTACCTTGCTTTACTGATTAATATTCCAAACACATTATCCTATGGGTTATACTGCATTAATTTGTTTGCAATAATTTTTCTTTCTATGTATCCTGCACAATATAACATTTGCTTTCCTGCCATCATTTTAACCTTTGCATTTCCAGCAAAATCCTTGTGTCTCATATTTGCTGGTCACTATCCTCTGGCTGACTTCTCTGCTCAGCAGGCCCTCTCACTTTAGCATGAGCATGTGAAAAGAAAGAGTGAATGAGCTTGCCAAATTTAATTTTAACTTGGGGACACTTCTAATTTTGACATTTTTATATTGCCATTGTTGATATTGGCTATAGACATCTGGGATATCTTGGATTTACATGGCCTCCACAGATGAGAGTATGGTAGACTTAAGAATGATGCATATTTTCTATTTAACTAACATTTTTCTTCTCTGAGTGACTTGTAAATTGAATCAATATCATTCCATCCTGATGAAGGTCAGAAAGGCGATTTATGAAACGTTGTCAATCCGAAAAGCAGAGAAAGTGAAATTCATCTTATTTTCTGTGGGAACCCAACATGCTGTGGTTTTTTACCTCAAAAGCATGAACAAAAATGAAACACATTAATAATTATTTATATCATCTATTTTTCCTCCTAATATTTTGGTACAAAAACAAAATAAAAAATCATAATAAAAAACCTGAATATGCCTACAAATACAGAATAATCTTGCTCCTGTATGCCTAACTGACAAGGCAGAAATTTCTGGTTTGGAACTTGGCAGCTGCAGAAATAAGGGTAATATTTCCCAAAACACTTAGTCTTGGCTAATAGTCCTTCTGAAGGCATTGCCCTTTGGGAGAGTGTGGCTGTGCCAACCACAAGTGTTTTCAAGAAGAGCACTCCACTCAAATAAAGGAATGAATAAATCAACATGATTTAGGGAGAATCGGCCCTTCTGGAACCATTGGGTGATAGTTAATCAAGCTTGATTAAGGACATGATCTGCTGTCCATAAGTCACAAAGTGCTTTAAAGTGTTAGGCTGCTGGTAATGGCCCTATTCTATTTTGGATTTTAGTGGATACTGTTTTGAAATCTGTATGCATGCACAGCCACCTCTACCTCCCCATGAGAAATGGAAGCTCCTTAAAGTATTTGAACTACAACTTGTGCTATTTGAATCATGTTTCTATACTTGTACAAATAGTTATTATACAAAAATCATGACTTTTTTTTTTTGGTGAACATTTGTCATGGTTTTATGTTTTGGCAAATATATATCAGGAACAGTCAGTAAATTATGTGTTGCAGGTAATTTTGTCAGTTACTGTTAAATATGTTATTCTGGAGCACAAATATAACTGTGTCAGTATTTACAGACATCAAAGGTTAAATGCTGTAGGTGCTGCTACAGGAGAAGAAAACCTTTTTTTGGTCAAACCAAAGGATTTGCAATGCTGCTTGATACCAGAGTTCTAAAGGTTGAGTAATAAGTAATGCAATTGCTTATTGCATTACTTAAAGGAAAAACATTTTTGAGTTTTCCATCTTTAATTCTTTCCATCATGTGCTGCTTAACAACTGGTGACATTTTCTCTAGTGAAATTAGCTAACTGATTCTGATTTTCCTTAATAGAGTAGGAAATAAAATTATCCCTGACTGCCGGAGATCAATTAATTGATTTGTCTGGTTCTGTCAGAAGCAATCCTTCTGCACCTTTTTTCTTAAAGCTTTTCAAAATCTATTTGACTGAGGAAAAAAAAAATTAACCCCACAATTACTGCATCCACAGAGTGAGTAAAATTTGGAGTTTGTGAGGAAATAAGAGGTCACAAAGAAGGTGAAGTAGTTACTCACCTGTGGTAGGATTCTGGCAACAATGTATTATAAAATTAGGACCAAGGTAAGTCACTGATCACTGCTCACAGGCTTGAATCAACATCAGTCTTCCAAATCCTCAAATTCCAGGCTGCAGTTTGTAAGTGTCTGACACTTACACTGGTGGTTTATGTGTGTGAGGAGTGGTGGTGATTAAAAATGAGTGGAAAAATGAAGTCTAGTTTCTTCTAAAAGGAATGCACCTTTGCCTTGGAGGAAAGATGAGTGGTTTCAGAGCTTGCAAAACCCTACAGGATCAGACCAGGGATCAAGAGCATTCACAGCTCTTGGAAAGAAGGTCCTCTGACTTAACAAACTATGCTTTTGTGTGGCAAAACATCCCTGTTAATTAGCAGACAGACAATGGGCTTTAGCTTTGAAGTCATTCCTTTAGGGACAAAATGCAGAAGCTCCTTTCCCCAACACACTGTTGTACAGCAATCCATCCATGCATCTCTTGTCAGATGGGTACCTGAAAAATACACCTTGTGTTCAGAGGTTCAGACCTTATTTCTCAGAGCATTTGAGGGAGTGTCAGAATATATATATCATCATATAGTTTGAAAGTGTAGGACAGAAGTAAATCTTGTTACTTTGTTCATAAAAATATGCATTTCTTCAGACTTCTCACCTGTAATGAAATAAAAATCACTATTGGACCGTAAATCTGTCATTTTAAAAATACTTACCTAGTGTATTTATGATGCATGAATTCTCTTTATTATAAATGAATAAAAAAAAAGAGGGCAACAATAAAAGGAAGAAGGCTTGTAAGCATTGTAAAGTGATAGAAGTGATGCCTTTTTAGAATAATGATTGCTGTCCCTTGGAACAGATGCATTGACAGAACTGACTTTTTTCTTGCCTTGATGATGTATTATCATCACTGTAAGGCAGCATCCAATATTCTAAAAAAAAAAAAAAAGGCATAAAAAAGAGAAAGTAGAAAACCTCTCAGGAGTCAGTCATGGTCATGCAGTGATAGTTGAGAACCTGCTGCACTGAACTGACAAGATGGAGCTTAGTTTAGCACAAATCTAAAGCCATGAAAGTAGCTGCAGTGCAGGTGTGCATGAAGCTAAAGATTACTGTCCTGAAGTGTAGCAAATGGCAACCTCATGAAAATAATGAATGAATGATGGGTTATTGTCATGACAGCTGGTGAAGACAATTTTCTCATTTGGTTAATGAGTATAGCCATCTTTAATTTCTAGGCACTCTGTGTCTTCTGAAGAGAGGTGGGAAGTCCTGTACCAGTGGTAAATGAAAATAAAAAAAATTAATTAAATATATTAAAAGAAAATAGAGTGGAGCGTCAGAGGGAAGGCTGTTCTGCAGGTGAAGAGCAGCATCTCAGCAAACTCCACTGACAGGGAATTGATTAGTCAGTGGAAAGTAGGGTGCTTTTGTATCTTTTTTATCTTTCTCCTTCAAAAAAACAGTACTCGGGCTTACCTGACCCTAAATACATTAGTTAACTGTTCTGTCTCGCTTGATCATCTATAGACAACTGAGTTAGAGGTCAACTCCAACTCTCCTAAAAGTTGTCTAACCAAGTCAGTATCA